TTCTCATCTCTGTGTATTCTGCTTTATGCTTATCTGGCATAGCCACTCCTGTACAGTTAGACGGGCAGAGCGTAACACAACCACTGCCAAGGCTGTGGGTTTGATTACTAGCGGGACCACCTATGCTAAAAATGCACGCACTCACAGCACAGTGAAGGCAGCTTGGGTAAAAAACATCCACCATATGGACTACGCTGTGTAAAAAGAATAAACTGCTGAGCATTTGACTGCCAAGACAACACAAGAGGAAATTTACTCAGCCATAACAACCTCAATGCAAGGTCAGGCTTCTCCACCACACTGAGGGCTGAAATTCATTTGAATACCTTTGGCAGTGTGCAGAAGTGCAGTTGGATGGATGTGGAGTGGTGCTCCAGAATATTCAAATTGTTGATGCTGAGAGTTCAATGACATCTCCCAATGTTATGATGACCTCCCGTAATTGCACACTACAAGAAGTGATGTTATGAAAGAAAATATGCTTCAAACTTAACTTGTCTGTGGTGAGACCAATAAAAGTGGAGTACAGTGTGTGTGTCTTTGTGTGTGTGAACGCTGTATGTAAAGGTGGTGTGTAAGACATTAATGCATGCAATAACATGAGGTGAAAAAAGACATGAGTCCAAGAGGAGCATGGCAGCGTGATGATTGGCACACATGTTTTTCTGGGATAGTGTGTGTGCATGTGTGTATACTTCCTTTGTAATGATAGCTCTCAGTCTCTCACCAGGCGGCCAGGCTACTCCTCTAAACCTCATGGTCTTTGCCAACCCCCAGAGCCCAGAGAATATGGCCTGCAGCTGGGCCACAGAGAGAGCCTGAGCCCCCTGTTACTTACTGAAACAACCAACAGTCATAATTAATCCAAGAAAGCAAACACATGCAGTTTCTTTTCATGTAAATCAAGCTTCCACTGGTTCAGATAGTGCACCACAATAACAGATAGTATCACAATGTTTACATCAGACTGTACGAGGAGGAGTGAAAGTGATTGAGCAGGATGATGGCTCCCTCTAGAGGTCAATTTGGGGAGCAAATCCTCTACTTGACTAAAACTTCAAGACTTCATAAATAAACAGTATTATAAGTACAAGTCCTGCATTGAAAATTCTTTTTAAATAAGAGTATGTCTTACCCGCAGTGGTGGGACAAAGTCATTGTTTTGCAAGTCTCAAGTTTTTGCACTCAAGTACCAAGTTCTTAACTTTGAGTTTCCGGTCTCAAACTATGGACATATATTTGTGTCTTTATTACATGTGAGAAAATAAATGATATGAGAGGGGGAAAAAATGTTTGAGAGGAAAAAAAAATATTTGAGAGAAAAAGTTTTCACACTGATAGCAAAAAGTAATAATATTTGAGACTAAAAAAAGTTTTGAGGGAAAGTATTTTGTCATAGAAAATAAAATAAAAAAAAATAATTTGAGATTTAAAAAATGATTTCCAAGAAAAAAACTTTTTTTTACTTTCAAATATTATTTTTTTGCTATCAGTGTGAAAACATTTTCTCTCTCTCTCAAAAAAAAAATTGTTTCTCTCAAAACATTTTTCTTCTCTCTCTCAAAACCTAAGTCTTTGCTCTCATGTCAGGATTTTGCTCTCACTGTGAAAATAATGTCATGGGCGGGGCCACGTTCCTATTGGCCAGTCTCAATTGACAGCTAGGTGAGGATCGTCTTGGGAGTTGAATTCAACTGAATCATTCATCCACCATGGTGGATTCACAGGCATAGATGTGCTGCGTTATTTGGGAGCGGAGACTCCAATATTTGGATAAGATGGTGACACACACAATTGATGGGTAGCTAGCTGAGCAAGTTGGTTATCAAAATCGTTCCTATAATTAATCCCTTTTCTCACCTAACGTTATTTTACTGAGGTTGTGTTATTAAAGGGCCAGTGTGTAATATTTGGCATAGTTTATTGTCAATCTGAATCTGAATCTGAATATTCTACCCATTAATATGTTTATACAAGTGTATGATTGCTATAAAATAAAATTCGTTTGGTTTTCGTAGCCTTATAATTTTGCTTTTACATATATATATATACAGTACAGGCCAAAAGTTTGGACACACGTTCTCATTCAATGTGTTTTCTTTATTTTCATGACTATTTACATTGTAGATTCTCACTGAAGGCATCAAAACTATGAATGAACACATGTGGAGTTATGTACTTAACAAAAAAAGGTGAAATAACTGAAAACATGTTTTATATTCTAGTTTCTTCAAAATAGCCACCCTTTGCTCTGATTACTGCTTTGCACACTCTTGGCATTCTCTCCATGAGCTTCAAGAGGTAGTCACCTGAAATG